TACTCTCTCTCTCTCTCTCTCTCTCTCTCTCTCTCTCTCTTCTTCTCTTTTCTTCTTTTTTCTTCAATTCTCAATAAATGCAAGAAACTTTGTACAGTATAGAAGTTAATTTTCACATTTGTTCAACTGAAAATTTTCAATGCTAATAAACGTTTTATTCTTGTTGTACTTGTTAAAATACGAAGCAAAAAATTTGTGCGCTACCATCATATTCTATATTCAATTAATTATATTCAATTAATTTATATGTAGTTTGGCCTTTGTTAAATACTCTACTAGTTCCATTTGATAATGAAAAAAAAAATGGTTAACTCGAGTATAAATTTTATTTTTTTTTTGTGGTAAAATCTTTTATGTAAAGGTTTTAACATGTCGTGAATTCGAGTCACGTTACGGAATCGAACAAGTTGTCGGACTATTTTTCATACTCGTTCAGGAATGCCTCGAACCCGGAAATGCAGAGGAAACTGAAATCAAGTTGGCTGACGTTACGATGACACGCACGAGTGCACTTAACGCACGACACTTCGCGGTAACGTTCGTTAGTATCGACCAACATGAATACTCTGATGACGTTCCGCATGCAAACTTCTGAGATTTCAATCGATTACGTTTCCCTCGAGCGCCATAAATTAAGCCCTTAAATGCAATCACTCGACTTCCAACTCCGAGATAAGTTTTATCTGCTAATCACGTAGGTTTTATTAAATTTAAGATAATGCATCGCTGTAATTCGCGGACTGCAATAAAATAAAAAAAAAAAAGAAAACAAGAACATAATATTGTCCATAATAATAAATTAAACGCTTTATATTTGTTATTATTAATTATAGCTAATTGTATATTACAATCATAAGCACACATTTACATTATCATATTACTTATCCGCAATTACTTTATTTATTTGCGTGTAAATAAAACTGATAAAGATCTAAAAATAAATTAAAAGTCGATGTATTATAGTTAAATAAACTGTACATATATGTATTTCAATCATCAAGAATCGTATTTTCCAACATATTTTCCGAGAAATATATCGGAGTGAAAAATAAAATCCTGCCTGGCAGCCTCGAGCTCGAGGGATGCCTTAAAATGAACAGGGAAAACTCGCGCGTAGTCGATTTCGAAGATCCTCAAAGGGCGAAGCCCTGCCACGATTGCGCGCGCTTCGCCCGAGAGATTCAGCCGATCTCTGACAGAAAGATTTAACACCGTATCACCTCGGAGTTCCATTCGCCGCGCTCGGTGCATACCTATGAGGGTACCTCGTTCGTTTGCCGCGTTCCTCCTCGCAACGAATTCTCCCCGCTTTCACACGCGCGAGCGAGTGCGGGGTGACGGAGGGTGTGGATCGCGTCTCATCCTTCGCATGTCACTGGATCACTAGGTGTCCCTCAGACATGAGTGCTTTCATTCCTCGTTGCCGCACCTACGCTTTTTCGTGACGACAGGATCGCGCATGGATCGAAAAGCTCACCCCTGCATTTTCGAATGTGAAAGGGTGTCTCTCAGGTGTCATTTTATTTGACGTGTAGAATTAACACTTTTTTTATTGCGATTTTAACGAAATGCTTTTTGACCTCAAATTTGCTCATTGATCCATACACTATTGCAAATTTTATAACTCAAATAACGATCGTTTATATATATATATATATAAAACATGATAAATAAAACCTACTACAATCGATGACTTCCTAATTATGTTTTTGTGAAGTTTTATAAATATTCCACTTTATCAATTGCACATCTTTATTATTCGGTATTCTTAAAATACAGGAAATATTAAAATATTAAATTCACGTTACTAAATTAATGCTAAAATATTAATACCGAAAATACATTAAAAATTAGGAAAATACGATAAATAATAATTTGCTCGATGTCTTTATTGAAGAAAAATCGATTCTAAACTGGCAGAAAAAATATAGTTGTAAGGATATCAGGTCTTTTCATACACTCTATAAATTAAAGTTAAATTAAAAACTTTTGACAAAGACGTATGCACAACTTTGAAGCTAAGAAAAAAATGAACTAGCAATTTCTTTTGAAAGAAAACTTTCCTACTGCATCTTCCTGAGTCATCCAGTACGCGACTCGAACGAAGAGATTCGGGGTCACATATATTCTACTATAAATCAAGATTTCAATTCGTCGCCTGCCGGATCGAACTTATGTGCATCGATAGCGCCTCGCTTCTCTTGTCACGCCCGGCTTTCACGACGTGGAGACTTCGGGAATTTACTATCGAAGTATGCCATCTACGATACATTTGTTGACACGATCGATTCCTGTTAAAAGAGGAAACACAGAGAATGCCCGTGCAATAATGCCCATTGAACGTGAGAAAATTTGCGTGATGAGATTAAAACGTATTTATGTGCGTGCAAATGGGTAAAAGGCACGACAAAGATGTGAATGATAATTGGGAAAGGTATGAAGAATTTTCATGGGAAATTACGATAAGCAACATACGAAATACACCTTAATTCCCAGCGGAAAATGCATCATTCATAGATATACTCACTCGGATTGTGACGTCATTCTACTCGGATTGTATTAGAATTTTATTTCAAATATTTAAAAGTCTACATTTTCTTAACAGAATAATGATCCGATTTATAGATAAACGTTTCAACGTATAACATTCCAAATCGGAGCTTCGAAGAAACGAATACGATTTGTTAGTCCAACGTTTGTGAAATATCCGGAGAGAGATCATCGCGAATTACGACGGAATAGAAGGATCTACGATCCTTTGTTTGCGGAATGTTTGAAGTACGCGATCTAAATCCGCGGCATTAAATCATTCTCGCAAGTAAGAGAGGCTTGCAACGTGTTCGAGCGGTTTTCCGGGAAACGTTTAATTCGTTACGTATGACTCAGCTGCACAAACATTAGCTTATCCGAAAGAGAGTCCGGAATGCCGGAGCTTTTCTTTGATATGCCACTGGTGCAAAGTAGTCCTTAAATTCACGACGAACGATGGAATTCCCGCGAAAGACCTCCCGATGGGTCGTCGCGCAACGTCAATTTCATGTAAAGCCACATTCATTGTCGCATTGATGGGAATTTAATATCAAAGCGTCGTCGTAAATAAATAAATTATTGTTTTTTTATTTGACGAATTGTATTTAGGCGATATATCGTAATTATAAAGTGAAATGTCGTAGATCAAAAATAAAAGCGATTCTTTGAAGTATCTCTTTTATATTTTATTCCGACATGTTCTGACATAAATTATGAAATGCCTCATGCAGTATTGACTTTTCATTATTCGTAAATTTGCCCAACTCTGTAACTCATGCAGACACAGAAGCGTTAAGCTTTACGGGATAAAGCTTATCGAGCTCGTCGTAATCCCTTTGTTCCCTATTTTTAATCGGCAATGTACTCAACTACTGGGGAAATCTCATCGAGTATTACTCGCTTGTGCCCAAGGGCGATCTAAATCGAAAGCCAATTACGCAGATAACTGATCAAAGGCAAACAATAAGCATATCGACCTGACTACCGAGATATTAACATAATACCAAATCAGGAACCATTCGTACATAGGGTCGACTACAAGCCTCCGGAAACTGTTTACTCCGCCATAACGATATAATCCTCAAATTAGCTGTAATATATTAGATTTAGCATTATAATGATTACATGAAATTATATTCGCGCGTATACTCTTATATGATATTATTGTATTTGTTATTTGTTTTGATAACACATTATCCCAGTCTATTACTTAATTGCAACACAGTCTGCGTTAAAATTGTAATAAATGCAATAATGAATAGAATATATATTTGCACATACGCGAAATGTACAGATATTTATATTTATTTATTAAATATAAAACATATAGGAATATATATATATATATATATATATATATATATATATATATAGATGAACTAAATTCAACAAAAAAATTAAAGAGTAAAGATCAAAGGTTAATCGAATATAAAGCTATTTAAGTTCTTAATTGTATTTGAGAGATGCTATGTATGTGTATAATTGTCAAATGATGAAAAAAGTCGAGAAAAATCGCTTGATTCGCGACTCATCGGGAAGTTTGCGCGCGATAATCATCACGAGAGGAGACACGCGTGTTCCTGCTTTTCGCAATCGTTTCGCAACGCGCAAAGGCGAGGTCTCGCTTCGTAATTAGCTTTCTCTTTCTGGCTGTTGCCCTTTCCTCAGTCGTTTAATCGCCGCGTGATCAAAGGAATGCCTTAATAAAACCCGCATACAGCCACAGGGTCGTCAAATCACCCGCGTTTAGAAAGCAAATGCCCTTTGTGTCACACGCACGTTCGAACTATATCGATGACGGGAAATTTTACGGACGAAATCTTGCAGTTCTTTAATCGCTCATCTATATAAAAGCGATCAGAAGAATTTTAATCTTGATCGTAAATTCGCTGGAAGGATGCAACGAACGGAAAAAAGGATGAAATTGAAAACGAAAAGAATAGTTTTCCAAACTATTTATCTCTCGTAACTATTTTTTATTTATTTTTTTTTTTTGAGCTAAAGTAGTTTTTAAACGTTGCGCTTAAATAGCGATCTCATATTATCGTCTAAAGGATAGTAAGGTAATTAAAATCCTAATAAACTGCAAGAGATTTAAATTCCGAATTTGATTTATTTTCGTTGCTTCAAACTGCGTCAGTCTGCCTCGCGAGGAAATGAAAATCGTTGAAGTTTCTACGAATACGTAAAATACGTAAAACGTTTGCGTTTTTCTTGAGCGACGCGCGGCACATATAGTCATTCTCGCATGAAAAAAATTCTTATGATAATCCAGAGGAAAAGTTTCTGCTTGACGTTGAATAGCTCGCGAGCTCTCGCGGCGATCAGCTTCCGAAAGCTTTCGCGCGTTGGACAACTTTTGAATTTCAATTGCCGGCGTCGCTCGGAAATGCGTAAAATGTACCACCGTTCTTCTCTGTACTGATTGCACATTTATGCTTTCTGTTTCAGATTTCTGCAATAACCAGCTTTTGCAGGGTGAGTACATGATTTTTATTGTATTGCCTATTGTACATGTTGCGTAGCTTTGACGCGTCCGATCTATTGTTCTGAAAGTGATGCAAATATCGCGCAAAATAGTACGCAAAAGAATATTACGGTCGTTCCAGGTGAATTATATATATTTGATCAGTTAATCACGATTATTCTCTATGTACCTTTTTTATGAAGCTTTGTTTCGCTAATTAATATTACGTTTGTATTTAACGAAACAACAAATTTATTTTATATCAATTTGATTCGATATTTGTTCGTAATTCCCATATGTTTTATCTTCGATAATACGCATCGATATTAAATTTGCGGAAAAGTTACGGCATTATTTCGAGATTCTACTCGGGGAATTTGTTTAATCAAGGACGCTCTGTCGAAATCTTCTTCATTTTAAATCGTATTAAATGTGAGGCTTGATTAAATCTCCTTTTGCCATTTATTCTTGTCGCTGTCGAACCTCTCGAACGAGGGGCGCGAAGTTGCTTGCATCTCGGAGAAATGTCAAGGCATTTTTAACAAGAGTTCAGTCATCCATCTGTTTAGATCCTCCGGCCACGTCCTCTTATTGCTCCACTCATGTCCTAGCGGGACACCCAGGTGATCTCCAGATCTTCATTCGAGTCTCGTCCTTTCGCCTACGTGAGCGTCGTTGTCTCGCCCGCTGTGCTTCCGGGCGGAAGGAATCCCGTGTGAATTTTTTATTGAAAGTATTTCCACGGGAGTGGCATACAGAAATAAGTTGACAAATGTTCCCGCATTATTTATCCAAGCTCAATGCCACTAAAATACGCGGAGGGCTTTTAGTTTATAAATGATGTTATGCCGCGGAGAGAAAATTCCTACATTTTAGTTTGACTGACGAACAATGAATAAATGGCACATTTCTTCGAAACTGCTTCCGCACGCATTTATGAAAGTTGTAAATTATAATTATAAAATAATGATCTGTCTTTCTCCATTTTGGTCTTAATTTAGCTTTTGAACGAGAAAGAAAAATTCTCCACAAAAATAGTTTTAATTTTATAAAGTAATAGAAACATTTTATAAAAACGTTACAATTAAAACATTGATATACGTATATTCTTATCTTTTATTTTAAAGTTAATAAATATAATATAATATAATTAATGTAACGTAAAAGATTATAAATTTTCAATAAATTAAATTAATTTAGGAAAATACATATTTTATACGATAATTTAACTGGATGGTCAAAAATAATTTTCTACATTTTATATTCTCATGGTACTGATATTATGACTGTTGAGATAAGAGGCAAATTATCTCATACATTATGAGTGAAATAATATTTCAATAAACGAATGAATTTTCCATCGCCTGTCCGTCTCAAAGAAATATACCGACGATTTCGAGGAGACGGCGAAAAAAGTTGCAGCTGATGCATCTCGCCTGCACTTGACTGCTTTCAAGCGGGAGTCGGAAAAAGATTCTGAAATGCAAATGGGCGCGAAACCGATCGATTGCATAATTTACGGTGCAGCCCGCGAGCTGAAAATACTGACGTTATCACGAATTTCTTGTCACGTAAACGTAAATTACTTCTTTTACTTATCGCTGACAATTTTCCATTAGCTAAATACGAGTATTTTTACGTTATACGATTTTTTTCTAATGAGATATCATTATGTTAAAAATTAATAATCTCATTAAAATTATGAAAATTATGAAGTAAAATGACATACATAACATGAAACAGCATTTTCAATTTTTAAAAGATATTTTCTTTCAAACAATTTATAAGTAGTTCTCATTATGATATTTGTTTGGATATGTAAAATACAGATAGAAATCGTTACGTTATAAAAGATTTTGTCTTCTTTAACATTATATTTTATGTCAGATTGATGTGACGTTATCACTGTAAAAAAGCAAGGATAAATCATTCATAATGCAAGGAGCAAGGAGATCTAGCATTGATACTGCCTTTTTCTTCCCTAGTGAGTATGCGCGTAGAAGTTTTCACATTTCCCGTCTTTTCACCTCGATGTTTGAGTCGGAACCACTCTTAAGACTCTCGCGATGCTCCAGTAAATTCGATGATGACGTTTCTCCGGTTTTCCCCGGTTTCCCGCGAATCTTTTTCCTTGTTTTTCACTCATTCCGCATGCAACCTTTCAGAGTGTCGGGTATAATTTACGATCTCGTTAAAAACATAGAAATCATTTATTTCCGGTGGTACGACGTAATGTAGAAAAACGATCGGCGGTGCGCGAACGAAACCAATAGTGAAACGGGATCATTTTGCAGCATCCATTTTTAACGTAAACCTACAACATTGCTATTTGTTACGCGATAAAAACGTCAGGTTTTAAAATACATCCAGTTGTAGGCATTGTTAAAGATATTAGCTTGTTAACATTTGTAACAGTTCAGTGTTTAGTATTTTTAAAAAGTGCAATAAAAAAGATATTACAGACATTATTAATTTTATAATTTTATCTTAAACATAAAAATGTTAAGAATTTTCAGCTTCTTTAATCATGAAATTTGTAGCTAATTATAGCTAGCGAAATAAGCTAAATTTGTAAAACCTTTTTATCTATAAGATTTTTAACCTTTCAAAATATTTCTAAGCTTTACGCAAATTTGCAGATTTTTACTAGTGAGATATATAATTCGTTTTTAAATATTTTAATTGCAGCTCATATTAAGGAAGTAAAATTATTCTTTTTTATGCCTTATATTTATATATTCGTAATACGATTTGCGATAGAAAAATTCACGAACGAAAAATTGTTAGCGACGACAAAATGCGACGCACTTTTGCGTCTCCGCAGACGCATACAAATGCACAATGCCCGTCATCCGTGAGCGGTTAAGTAGAGCTCACGTCTGGTTGTAATAAATAGTCTACTCCATCCCCTTGTCACTCCGTTCGTTCCATATTCGTCAAACGAGGATCAGCGTATACTCGCTGCAAGAGGGACCCTCTCGCGCGTACACGTTTCCTCCGGTGGGTTTGCGGCCCACTTTCCCGGCTACGCTTATTGTGTTGTCCCAAATACATTGTGCACGCAACCGAGGAATGTCTGCTGACGCTCGGTGGTTCACGATTATCTCGATGCGAGGGAAAAGATTCTATCAGAGAGTTTGCCTCTCTTAAATCGAGCATGACTTTCTTTCGCGTTTCACCATTCATTTAGGTTCCGGTATACTATAATTAATTTTACACGTATAAAAAAATTTATATATATATATATAATATTAATAAAATTTATTATATATATATATATATAATTTTCTTACAAAATTTTATTAAAAATGTATAAGAGAGAGTTGATACAGACTTTTTACTCTATTTGTCACTTAATCTTTTATTGTGAGATAACACATACACACACATATGTCTGCAACACGGACGCCTACTATAATGCAAAATTAATAAAGAAAACGAAAACTTCTGAAATATTGATCACCATTTATTTGTAACAATAACGTAACAATACCAAAATTCACATTATGTTTTAAAAGCGACGGGTCATAAATTTTCGCTAGCTCAATTTCGGGACGAGAAAATAGTTGCTTGTACAATGAATTGCCAGTTCGGTTCACATTGCAACACTGTTATAAATGTTTAAGACGGCCATTAGCACGAGTCAGCGAGTCCAGAAGCGGCTAATGAAGATGGAAAATTAATTAAGTCGGAAAATTAATTTCTTCCCCGTGATAGAGCGAGATATTGCGGTTTCCCGATTCAAATCAAAGCTGCGAATTTTGATTTACTTCGGCTTAATTAAATTTCCACCTGAATTAACGACTTGCCAAAGTGGGCTAATCCACCAATGTAATGAGCCTCGTGGGAGATATAAAACTCAAAATATATAAAATCAAGTTTTATATATTTGAGATATATAAACTCTTTACATAATCTTTACATAATAGTTCAATTTTAAATTATATCTATCTGTTAATGTTCGATAAGAAAATATGATTGATGGATAATAATTAAAAGTACATAACATGAGCAAATATTTAATAATTTATTATGTAGGAAGCGAATAAGTCATTTTGATTAATAGTGATTTACCGTTTATAAATTGATTATATAAATAATGATGTCATTAATTATACATTCATTAATTTATTATTTATTGTATTTCGAAACAATATAATTGTCATAGAATATTATTAGACTCGTGAAGTTTCTCATCCAAAGTTACGCATTTATGTAAACTACATTGCGTCATTTTAATCAATTCTACTTTACTTTATAATTTTATCGTAAATATATAAAATCGAAATTAAGTAATGGCAAAAACGCATTAAGGTATCTTTATAAGATATCTTTATAAGCAAAATACACTTTACGATACGGAACACCGTTACTCGCAGACAGTTTTCCTTAATTTCATCGCGATGAGCGCGAGATCTATTTGTTCACTGAGAAGCATTGGAGATAAGGCCTTAAGGATTATGAAGGAGATTGCTCGACTGCGGTCCAAGGAAGCGCCCTCGACAAGAGAGCTACCTAATTATGATGAGGGAAGGCGGAAGCACCAAGCAGGGCCGGCGCTACACGGCTTTAATGCTTCACGTCATATTTCCGAAGCTAAATTAATTAAAGGAGTTATTTTTCAAAGCCGTCTTGGATCTATATTTATCATGGTTTTATTTTATCCTGCTTCACTACTTTGTAACACGTCTCTGTTATTTAAAAAAAATAGACTTACGACAGTTTGCAATTAAACAACAATGTACTTTATTAGTATTAGTAGAAAAAAAATTATTAATTTTTATACAATAATCTTATTTAATTTATTTATAATGCGATGATGATTATTATATTTTATAAAATGATTATGATATTTTACAATTATTGTTGCATTAGATTTTTACATATTATTTATGCATTTAAGAATTTTAAGTTTAAAATTAAACTAAAGTTTTTTATTGGTGTATCAAAATGATAAAGATAAATTTACGTTTTTTTGATTTTTAGAATTTCAAATAATACAATTTAAATAACGTATATTACAAATTTGTATTTTAAAAATGTAAGAATGTATATTTTGATATTTATATTAAATAAATATCTAAATTTTGCAAGTTTTGTTAAATTAAAATAATATCACGCAATTCTGCATTTGAAACTAAAGATTACTAATTTTTTATATTATAAGGCTTTAATTTTTTGGGTCTGTTTTGTCTAATAAAATTTACTGTAAAATTCGAAACATATGCAATTGTCTAAAAATAAAAGGCTACGCTTTATTTTTTTTACCATTCGAAATCTCGTTGCCTCACGGCGGTCCTGGTAAGCAAAGATGAAAAGTAATAAGAGAGGATAGCATCTTTCTCTCGGTTAGATATTTCCGAGAGGTACGGCGAGAGGACGTAACATCCTAACATTTTAACCCTGCTCGTTCTATCCGGTTTTCCGTTTCTGTTGGTTAGAGCGGCACTAAACGAGAAAGAAAGGATATAACCGAGAGATAACGGCTATCGACACTACTGCTAAAGTCGTAACGAACGAACCGCTTCTCAAGAACAGCGCTTGTCTAAATGCTAAACTTTACGGCATGCCCGCATGATCGCTTCGGAAACTTCAACCGCTCTTTTTCAAGGATGGGAGCGCGTTATCCACATTAATGCCGGGTATTCTTTCGATATAGCAAGATATAACGACGCTTGTAATTTATAGTTTACAGTTTCGGTTTTGAAAAATTACAGGCAGAGTGAACAACCCTTCGTTTATAGATTTTTGTGTGGTTCATATACGACAGAAAACTGGGAAACTTATAAAATTTAAAATTGTGAGATAAATTGAAAAATAAAGTGTGAAAAATAAATCGAAAAATCGAAAGCAAAAATCAAACAAATACGAATATTAAGATTATGTTAAGAATATTAGCATTTATTTTTTTTATTTTAAACACTTAAATTGTATATTTTAAAAAATTGAAATAATAGGCTTGGAATTAATTCTGCAGTTTGTTGTGAGATACGGTACCTTCATCATGCTGTCCTTTTTGTTATAGCTCTCTGCTCTTGTCGATGGGATTTACGCTGAGCATGGTCATACTGCGGGATCGTTCACACATTTGGCGAGCGATCGACTTCTCGTCGGCGGAGGCGCTGATGCAAGGTCCTTACAGGGCGCCAGAGGGATCAACAACTTCGTCGGATGTCTGAGAAAGGTTGGATCGACAGCATGATTTATTTATATCTTCCAGCAACTTTCCCATCCTTTACTCTGCAAATGTGCTTGACTAAAATCAAAATTGCATAGAACGTAATAGAAGCCATTAACTATTTTAAAACTAGATTTCTGCACAAGCTGTACAAAAAGATAAAACAGTTTCAATAATCTGTAAGTATAAATAATATGAGAAATATGGTAAAGATTGATGAAACTATTTTTAAATTCGCTTTTAATTTCAAAGACAAATCGAAAAATTCAAATAACTTCAAGTGATAGACTAGATAAAATAGACTAATAAAATATAAAGTGACTCTCTTTAAGAGGAAGTACGAGCAATTATGATTAGAAAATAATAAGTGATCAATGGTGAAACATATTTTGCGGAGCCAGTTTTAAAGACAACAGATAAATCACGAAATTATATTCTTTATAATTAATATCCAACATTTTATTTAAAAAATTGTAATTATAAAAATGAGTAATTAAAATTGCATGATAATCCACAACATTTTTATTGAAAAGAATTGGCTATAAGTTTTGTAATGAAATCTATAATTAAAAAGTTATCTATTTTAACATAGTAGATTGAAGAATTTTATTTTTTTTATTTTATTTAAAATAAATTAAAAGCAATGTTTAATTATGCACTCTTTTATTCGCTTTTATTACAAATAAATGGCTATTCGCGATGGCTATTTCTTCACGTGAGATGATAATAATAGCATTGGCGAACGAATCGTAATTTTTAAATTGCCCTTTTTGTGCTCTTTTCAATTGAATGGTTAGCATCGGATGACAATTACTTTGATAACAAAATTGCGCTGAACGATTGCCGGTGGGAAATCACGATAGTGCGTTATTGAACATTTGATGAAAGACATAATGCTAGTAAAGAGGTCTTTCGAGAGCACACACGTTGCTTAAACATTCTGCGCTATAACAAATTTGATTTAAAGATTGGCTGTTATACAGGAACGCAATGTACTTATAATATAATGAGATTCTTGTTAACTTTGCATGAGTAAAACGAAACTCAGAAAAATAGTTTTTCAATTCTAAACCTTGATTATACACTTTAAAATATTTATTCATTTAATATTGCACAGAATGTAATTTTATATGTAATTTATATATATATATGTTTTCTCTTCTCGTGAAGAATTTTAAAATGAAATTTTTCTGTATCGAATATTTCGGATATTCGCGATTTTCTTAATTAGCAAGTAAATCATATCAGTGTTGTTTAAACTGCAGATCGTAAAAAGAATCTTGTTATAGTCTCACTCATTAAAGAATCCAACGTAAATTTCGTCGAAGTTATCAAAATTTTTTAGTGAGCAACAGTAAAAGTTAGAATAATTTCTAATTAAGTATCCATAAATAAATGATCATAGCATATTAAATTCATTAAGTTGTGCGTAAGAATATTTTTAATTTTAACAACCTTCACATTTGGAAAAAACCTCAGAAATTCTGAAATTATTTCTATCGGTGGAGCGACGCGCATGAACTTTCTGTAGGAACCAATAAAAATGTCCGCCCAACGGGGGTGTGGACGTGGTCATCGCGACGCAATGAAATATTCATGCCGGCAACTTACTTGGGAAGTTTCGCCATGAAGTGAAGTCGAACTAACGCACCATGGGTGGCAACAAAGAAACGCGAATGAAGCGATAAAACTTGTCGCAATATAAAGCGCACCACCGAGGCAAAAGGTTAATGGCAACTGTAATTTGCTGACTGTTTGCAGCTTAAGCGAGGCGATGCGAATCGCTTGGTGAATTATTTCCTATGAGTTTTATTTACGAGCGTGCGCGCTCTCGCGATATGTAAATTGTTCGGGATTCCATCGCGGTGAAGTTTCGACTTCTACCTAAGGCTCTTAGCTTCCCGTTGCAATCATATTGCGTTAGAGGCGAAAAACCGCACAAATTTTTCTCTTGCGCTTGTGCGTCAAAATGGAGCTTAATTTTTTTCGCATACGTCACCGCATTCGTCGTTACGAAGTCTTTATTGATTGAATATTTATATTTATTTTTGCGACTACCACACGCACCTTTAAATTCCTCGAGCAACGCGGATATAGACGTAATACGTACATCCTAAATTTTTTTTATTTTACAGAGATTAAAATATTTTTCCATTAATGTGTATGTCAAGCGCGCTTATGGTAATCTTTAGATCGAAAGTAAGATATTTCACGTAAGATAATCTGCATTTCCGCTTATCCGAATCTTTCTTCTGAAAATACCTGTCTCTAGGAAAACAAGTATAATATGCATACAATTCGTTTTATTCCAGTTATTTATATTTCTAGTCCAAATAGGAAAATATTTGTAGAAGATCAAGATTGGACAATAATTTTCATTTTAGCATATCTTAAAATTTGAGATATATATATATATATACAAAGCATTTAATTCTAAATTAAATCTCTAAATATACAGCTTAGTAATAATGATTGAAATAAGAATTTAAATAAGGAGTTTGCTAAGTGAGGAATAGATATACCAATTTTTATTTAGAATTTCATATTTAAAGCTCACGACAATCCAAATCAAGATTTCAATTTTTTTCTATTTTAACATGTTCGCATACACCAACTGCCATGATATATATCATATGTTCGCAGGTGGAGTTTGCCGCCGAAGGAGTGAAAATGGAGTTGATTGAAGCCGCCAGAAGCGGAGCGGCGGGTGCTGCGGCTTGGGGAAAGATGGATTTTCACTGTCGCGAACCCAGAGCCTCAGACCCGATCACGTTTACCACCAGGGACTCGCATCTCGTGAGTATATGTTCTAATTATTTGTAATGATATAGAATGTTTTTAAAAGATACTTATACGCACTCGTGTTGCAACGTTAATCACTCACTAAAAAGAAAAGGCGAGATTATCTTTTAAAAGATTTTTTTTTCCTTTCTGAATGCAATCGATAAAGACATCTGAAAAATCATTTTTGATTTTTAAGATATCATGAAGTTTTTAGAGACTTATTATTACTATTTTCATATATGATTCTAAAATCTATTTTAAATCGATGTATTTTCGATACTTTTAAGAGAAATATAGATCTACTTGTTTTATATGTAATCTATATTAAGATTGAAATTATATAAAATCTTTCTAAAATAGAATGAAGAATCAAATATGTAATATAGTCTCTATTACATATTTGTTTAAATAAAATATGCCACACCATTTTGTAATAATTGTTTTTGCTCAAGAACGAACACCAGAACGACACTTTAATGCACGTGTCTCTCAAATAATGCAAAGGAGAAATACGATCCGGTTTCATTATCGACTAGAATTGTGACGATGGAAATATCCGATTAAATCGGGAATGCACTCGAGGAAGTTTTTTGCGAGTCAAGCAAGCTGCAAATAGTTCGAAGCTATTGCGTAGCTCGCTTTCGAGTTTTCGCGAATATCTCCGAGAGGCGAAAATAACCGAGGTCAAGGAAACTTCGCAAATGTCCTCGTTCTAAATTACCAGAGGTTCTCTTGATTTTTTTATATCGGAAGAGGAAGGGGGGAGGGGGGCGCATTTGAACTCTTGCACGCGGCGCGTGTTGTCGATTGCCGATGCGCGGGTTTGTTCCTCAAAGACCGCGCCATGTAGGTTTCTAGAAAGAAAAAGCATAGCAAGAGAAATACTAATCGAGCATAAACAAACAATACAGAATTCAGTGTATGAACGAACTAATTATCTGAAAAACTAATTATCTGAAAGAAACACATGTTTGTCAGATTATATTACTGAAAAATATAATGTGAAAAATAAAAGAATGCCGTGTAGAATTTTATTCGTGAGATTATTTTTGATATGCTAAAACTTCGATAATTCGTTCTTTTCTACCTCTGCATTATTATAAATTGATATCGACATATCACAATAAAGTACTCTCGATAATTTTTGAGCACATCCCTCGCCGACATTTATAAACGCGAATTACACGCATTAACGGAAGATTGTTATTTCCTCTTAATATACATTCAAGATGCTTGAAAATAAAATTTTTATTATTACCAGGATATTACCAGGATGTAAAGAAAATTCGACGTTTGGCGTTTTAAAAATTTTTGCTAATATTTTCTTCCCAAAAAACACTCGGACGTATCCTCGACATGGGGCACTAACGTGAATACCATGCGCATAGCGCATCCTCTTATGCGCTTTTACAGGCTACGACACCGTCGTTACCATTGCAAATCCTTGTTACATTGGCCATCACGGTGTCAAAGGGTGCGAGGACGACGGCGAATGTACGTGCTCTCTAAAAGCGCGTTCTCGCCGACCTCGTACAGGAACTTGTTTATGAGCATGACCGTTCTTGCATTGCGCTCTCCATCACCGCGGTTTACGCAGCTGGTGCATTAATGCATCCATTCCAGAATACGCCCCCTTCTCTTTATAAATTTAAATAATGCAGATCATCTCGACATCCATTGTTTCGAGTATCGACTATAATGCGATGTGAAATATCATTCAGGAAGTTAATACTTGATATAATTATATCCAGTTTAGAGAAAATTATCAAGAGATTTTTTTTTTTTTTAATAAAGTTAACATTTCTTAGAGTTTTTTAAAAATCGTTTGTTTTTGATTAAGTTTAAACGCTTGAAATTATAAGTGATTTGTTATTTCCTCTACGGGAAAAATTGATTCCAAATAGGTCCTTGAATCTGT